TGATAGGATACCACTGGGATGAACAGATCAAATGAGAATAAGTTCCACTTTTATTTAAAAGCAAGAACGATTACAGTAAAGGAATTGATAACAAAGCCTATAGAAGGCTGTAAATAAAGCTAAACTACTCCAGACTCTCTCCAAAAATGAGCTGCCTTCTACTCCCTGATTACTCTTATTTATAGGCTATCCTAACAGAAAGTTGTTACCCTATATTCCCCCCAACAGAATTTAACTCCTCTCCCTCCAGGTGCGAGATTCCCTTCTTACCCCTTCTAGAATATGTGAAATGGATCGGGGGTCTATCACAATACACACTAAGCATTATACACCGTACTAGATAATTTATTTTCTTTCTCGTACTAAACATTCTTCAACTGCCATTGTTTAAATGGAAAATTAGAAGCTCGGTGACTGACTAATTAAGACAGAATAAATTTAATGTGAAACGATGCAATAAGTTGGGTAACTTGTTAGTCTCACGTAATCTTCCTAGAACTTTAAAAAAACAGATCCTTGAAGAGAGCCACCCTCCAAGTAACATATAACACATGAAGCTATAAATTTCTCAACAACGGTCAATGATGCATAAAGTAACATGGAGTCCCTTACCTCGTCGACCTCTCCCGGAGTCATTATAAATGGAGGAGACATCATTATATTGTCACCAGCAACACGCACTAACATTCCATGTTTTTCACACTGTGCTCCAAAATATGAACCAACTCCTGCATAAATAATAAATTAATTACTAAAATCATCATTTTTGATTAAGAGATTCCACTAGAAAGACGTAATTCATACCCCATTCAGCAGGAAACGGATCGTCAGGTGACTTGTTATTGGCAAATTCTGTCCCAAGGATCAATCCAGTTCCTCGTATCTTCACAAAAACTTGGTTCATTAAGAAATCTATACGTAAATAAAAAATTATGTAATTAATTAAACATTGCTTAATAGTACCTCCCCAATGATGGGACTGTCGGAAAATGCCTTCACACCTTCTTGAAATTTTGGGGCTATGCTATTCACTTTCTCAACAATATTTCTCTCCCTGAAAACAAGTGAACCTTTTTAAAATTTTGCCAAACAATTAAAAATAGTTACATTTTTTAGACTTTACCAAACATGAACTTATGTGTTCAAAGCATGTTTTGAATAAACGTACAATCATCAAGAATAACCCCCATATGCATTTCCATGGAAATCTATTGACATTTGAAATTGATACTTTTGTTGTCATAAGTCTATGTTTTGTTGTACTTATCTCTAGCTTTATGTTATATGTTTAAAGTCTAGCAAAGTATGGTCCAATATAGTACTAGATATGCTGTCCAACAAAGTGAGTGGTAGTAGGTAGAAAGTCATGGTTTGAACTATGGTTTTGTCTATGTATTGCTCCAGCCGGTTTCATCAGTGTGTCAATGAAATACTAAGTTCTTCTTCCTCTTTGTTTTCATATTCTATCAGTGGTACAGAGAGAATTAGATCTTAGGGGAAGAAGCAAGGCTGTGAGATAGATTTTTGAGAGAAAACAAGTGAGGAACCTTTCACCAAAATTTTTCACCATATCAGCCGAGTTATTTGAGGGCAAGAGTGATGACTTTAAGTAGTTTTTCAGCTCCATTGCCTTCTGTGTTTACAGGAAAGAACTATGATTTTTGGGCTGCAAAAATGAAGGCTTACTTGAAAGCTTATAACCTGTGGGAAATCACAGAATCAGGTACTGAACCACCACCTCTCAGAGCAAATCCTACTATAGCTCAGCTGAAGCAACATAGTGAGGAGGTTGCAAAGAAGTTTAAAGCTCTGTCTTGCATTCAATCTGCCGTTTCAGATGTAATCTTTACTAGGACCATCACTCGTGAGACAGCAAAGGAAGCCTGGGACAGATTGCAAGAAGAGTTCAGAGGCAATGCAAGAACAAGGCAGTTGCAAGTTCTCAATCTTAGAAGAAGGGAGTATGAAACCTTGAAGATGAAAGAGTCAGAAACTATTAAGGAGATTTCTGATAGGCTGATGAAAGTGGTGAATAAAATAAAGTTGTTGGGGGGATGATCTACCTGATAAGAGAGTGGTGGAAAAGGTTTTGATAAGTTTGCCTGGAAAATTTGAGGTAAAAATCTCCTCCTTTGAAGACTCTAGACATCTGTCCACTATAACCTTGTCTGAATTAATCAATGCCCTGCAAGCTACTAAGCAAAGGAGGCTGATTAGGCAGGAAGAACAAGTTGAAGGAGCTTTGTTTGTCAAAGGAAAATATAAAGCTCAAACAAGTTATGGAGTGAAGATGCATCAGCCTGAGAAGAAGAAGGTTGAAGGCAACAAAAATGCTGCTAAAAGTGATGGTTATCCACCCTGTCCTCATTGCACAAAAAAACCGGTCATTCTCCAAAATGGTACTGGTATAGACCAGGAGTCTGATGTAGAGCATGCAAGCAATTTGGGCATGTTCAAAAGGTGTGCAAAAACCAAAAGAAGAAGCAAACACGACAACAAGCTCAGGTTTCTGAAAATCAGCAACAAGATTAGCAAGAGGAACACTTGTTCACAGCTACAAATTACAAAATGAATAGTAGTGTTGGAACTTAACTGTTGGATAGTGGATGCACACATCATATGGCTTCATATTCTAGCATCTTTGTTGAATTAAACAGCACATACAAATCAAAAGTGAAGGTTGGAAATCGTGATTATGTGAAAGTGGAAGGAATTGGTGTGATTGCTATGCAAACTCCAACAGGTATTAAACACATTTATGATATTCTTTATGTACCAAACATGGACCAGAACTTAGTGAGTGTAGGCCAATTGATTGAGAAAAATTACACATTGATATTCAAAGATTGTGGCTACACTATATTGGATGGAAATGAAAAGGAATTGATGACAATTGAAATAAAACAAAGAAGTTTTCCTTTAGAACGGTAAAGTATAACCTCACATGCATTTTCTAGCACTGTTGTGGAATCCTCACTTTGGCATAAACGTTTTGGACATGCAAATTTTAGCTCACTCAAGCAATTAAACAAGCTGGAACTTGTTGAAAATTTGCCAAACATATGTGGATGTGTGTGTGATGTTTATCAACTTGGAAAGCAAAAAAGACTGTCGTTTCCTAAAAACAAGTCAAGAGGAGCAATAACTAAGCTGGAATTAATCCATTATGATGTATGTAGTCCAATGAGAACACCTACTCTAAATGACAACAGGTACTTTGTGCTCTTTATTGATGATTTGACAAGGATGTGCTGAGTGTATTTTCTGAAATTGAAGTTTGAAGTAGCTGGTGTATTTCAAAGGTTTAAAAGTCCGGTGGAAAATAAGAGCAACTGCAAGATTAAAGCCATTAGAACAAAAAATGGAACTGAATATAAATGTGATCAATTTGACAGATTTTGTGATGATGTTGGTATCAAACATCAATTGACAGTACCATATTCACCTCAGCAAATGGAGTTTGTAAGAGGAAGAATAGGACTGTGATAGAGATGGCTTGGTACCTAATGATTGAGAAGAATGTTCCAAAAGATTTTTGGGCTGAAGATGTGAATACAGCAACTTACCTTCTCAACAGGTTACCTACAAAAGCCTTAGACAAATTAACTCATTTTGAAGCCTGGTATGGAGTTAAGCCAAATGTTTCACACTTGTAAGTGTTTGGGAGCATATGTCACACTCATATACCTGATGTCAAAAGAGATAAACTGAGTCAGAAGGCAGAACTTGGTGTTTTGGTTGGTTATTGTGATAATGCCAAAGGGTATAGAGTCTACAATCCTCAAACCAAAAAGATAATGTCCAGCATGGATAATTAAGGTGGATGAAGAGTCTTCATGGAATTGGGAAGCAAGTACCTTGAATAAATTGAACATTCCAAGGTAGGTTCCACAAGAAAATGGAAGTATTATCAATGAAGATGAACCAACACTAGAACCAGATAGTGATTCTAATTCTGAAAATGCAGTGCTAAGAACGAGGCCACTTGCTGATGTATATGCCAAATGTAATTCAGTCGTATTGGAGCCTTCAAACTTCAACGAAGCACTAAATTCACGAGGTTGGTTGGCTGCAATGAAGGAGGAGCTAAGTATGATAGAAAGGAATGAAATTTGGGTGTTGGTCGATAGACCAAAGGATAAGAATGCGATTGGAATTAAATGGGTGTATAAAACCAAGCTGAATTCTGATGGTTCAATCAACAAACTAAAAGCCAGGTTAGTTTTGAAAGGATATGCTCAGCAATATAGCATTGATTTCACAGATGCATTTGCTCCTGTGGCCAGGTATGAAACCATCATACTATTGTTTACCATTGCTGCTCAAAGAGACGGGAAAATATATCAATTGGATGTTAAATCAGCTTTCTTAAATGGATACTTAAATGAGGAGATTTTCATTGAACACCCAGATGGTTTCCTTGTGGCGGGAGAAGAGGATAAAGTGTATTTGTTGAGGAAGGCCTTGTATGGCTTGAAGCATGCTCCAAGAGCCTGATACAGTAGAATTGATCAATACTTGGGCTGAATTGGCTTCATCAAAAGTGTTAATGAACAAACACTTTATATAAAGCAAGTGGAGGAAGAATTGATTATCATTTCCTTGTATGTTGATGATCTTCTAATAACAGGCAGCAATCAAGCTTTAATTGATAGAGTGAAAGGTGAAATGAAGATGGCATTTGATATGACAGATTTGGGAAAAATGCAATATTTTTTTAGTATGGAAATAAATCAAACACAAGAAAAATGCAATATTTTTTTAGTATAGAAATAAATCAAACACAGATTGAAATTTTGTAATTCAAATGAGATGCTAAGGAAATTTTGAAGAAATTCAACATGGAGAATTGTAAACTAGTGAGTACTCCTCTGGTGCAAAATTTAAAACTGATGAAGGAAGATGGAAGTAAGAAATTTGATGAAAAGGTTTATAGAAGTTTGGTGGGAAGATTATTGTATTTAACTATCACAAGACCAAACATCACTTTTGCTGCAAATATGCTTTCCAAATTTAGACAAAAGCCAAGTGAAGTACACTGCAAAGAGAGTCTTAAGATACATCAAAGGGAATGCAGAGATGGGAATTTGGTTTAGGAGGTCAGAAACTTTGGATTTAATTAGTTATACTGACAGTGATTGGGTTGGATCCTTTGATGATATGAAAAGTACTTCTGGATATGTATTTTATCTAGGATCAAGTGTTGTTCGTTGGAACTTAATGAAGCAGAAAACGGTGGCTCAATCAACAGCAGAGGCAGAGTATATAGCTGCATTAGAAGCCACTAACCAGGCAATCTGATTGAGGAAAGTGTTGGAAGATCTTATGCACAAACAAGCTGATGCAACTGATATTTACTGTGATAATCAATCGGCCGTTGCAATGGTTAAGAATCCGGTATTTCAAAGAAGAACAAAGTACATCAAAATCAAGTATCATGCAATCAGGCAAGCACAAGAAAATCAAGAAGCGAAGCTGGTGCACTACAATGCTGAAGATCAATATGCTGACATTTTAACTAAATCCTTATCAAAAGGAAGATTTGAAACATTGAGGGGATACCTTGGTGTTCCCAACAAAAGTCTCAAGGAGGAGTATTGACATTTGAAATTGATACTTTTGTTGTCATAAGTCTATGTTTTGTTGTACTTATCTCTAGCTTTATGTTATATGTTTAAAGTCTAGCAAAGTATGGTCCAATATAGTACTAGATATGCTGTCCAACAAATTGAGTGGTACGAGGTAGAAAGTTATGGTTTGAAGTATGGTTTTGTATATGTATTGCTCCAGCCGGTTTCATCAGTGTGTCAATGAAATACTAAGTTCTTCTCCCTCTTTTTTTTCATAATCTATCAAAATCCAATCCCCCACCCCATAATGAACCACATATAAGTCAAATACACGTTGATTTAAAGTGTATAATTTTGGCCCCATTTTCTCATATCACGTTGATACTAACATGCAGAAAAAATAGTCTAAAATCATCCTCTCAACCTCAGGGGGTCTTGTTTTTTAAGCATTAGTTCTTGTCATTAATCACATATTCGTTTAGGATACTCAGCTCGATCATCTTATAAAGCCGGAAACTATTTTCCAAGAGGAAATTTTTCTTTATTCACTTACAAGAAATTCGAAAAAACGTACTTGTAGATCTTGAGAGCTTCCAATGCAACAGCACATGATACAGGGTGTCCAGAATAAGTGAATCCATGGGAGAAAGAACCTATCAGATAGAGTAAGAGGGACGGGTTTACCTTTTAAATTGCAAAAAAAAAAAATAAATAAAGGGAAAACAAATTAGAAAAAGGCTTAAATTAAAATGTTATCACTAACCAAGTTTGTTGCTTTGAGAATAAACAACGTCATTGATTTCAGGGCTCACGAGAACAGCTCCGATTGGCACATAGGCAGAAGAAAGTGCCTGAATATGAGATTGGAGCAATAGAGTTGAAGTTCAACTCATAACTAGGCAATGCTTTTTATCATAAAATTGTTGATCTTCACCTTTGCTATGGAGACAAGATCAGGTTTTATGTTATACTTGTCGCACCCAAACATTGATCCAAGCCTTCCAAATGCACATATTACCTCATCAGCAATGAAAAGAATATCGTACTTCTTCACTACAGCCTGAATCTGTATATGTATTTCAAAGGAGCCTCACTAAGTGTTCTATTAGTGGAATGAAGAGCAAGACTTATAAATTAAGTCCTAATCCCTGATTTTGAGAGCAATAATAAGCAAGCAGAAGTCCAAACACAAATAATAGCCCCCACAAGTTCCTTCAGAAAACATAAATAATGCATCTAAAATTATCATTATATAAATTTCTAAAAAACATTTAATTCATAAGACGTGTCCATATACCCTTGTCCAAATTTTAGGTCCTATGTAGCCATATCCCCATATCCTAGATTTAGAAAGAAAAAAATAACTTACTCCTAAATATTGTACCCATATCGGAAAACCGCACTTGAGTCCAAGTAACATACGTTGCAAGACTTCATCAACTCAATTTCATTGTGACGAATGACAAGAAAATAATGAAACTAACCTTCTCAAAGTAAGTTGCAGGTGGAGGAATCACTCCTCCAGCCCCCATAACTGGTTCGGCAATGAACGCAGCAATCTAAAATACATCGATCTACCCATCAGCAACTGTAACCTCTATCATTCTGCTAAAGAAAGTGATAAACACAGAAAGAAATTTAAAATTTGATGTCAAATTTCAGTTACCGTCCCCGGTCCCTCTTTCAGGATAAGATCCTCCAAATTTTTGGCCATTCTGCTAGAGAACTCTTCCTCCGTTTCACCTGAAAATATTGGTTTCAAAATTTTAGTAAGATCATGGAAGAAAACGTGTCAGCAATTGTAAACGAGTGCATCACAACCTGGCAGATGATATCGCCAATAATGTGGGCAGTCAGTGTGTAATACGAACGGAGCCGGCAGATCAAATTTCTGATGTAGCGCGGGAAGACTGTTAAAAGACAAATAACAGAATAAATAAATATACTCATTGCATACAATATTAGTTGCAACTCTGAAAATTGTTGGGTACTTACCCAGAAAGACTGGCTGATATAAGTGTTGAACCATGATATCTGCCAAAATATACAAATAAAACTGAAGTGTAAAACTATTTTTTTATACCAAAAACCAGATAACATTGGCTCAGAACCATTACGATTTTGCTCGAGCAATAAATTTCTTCTTGTTTGGCCTTCCAAGGGCATTATTGTAATACCAAACCAGCTTAACCTACAAGGAAAAAAAAAGTGTTATTCAGAATATCATAAATGCATATTGCTTCTTTTACCTTTTCTACTTCAATTTTAGCTTCTTTTCATGTTACAAGAACTTTCAAACTTCTGTTATGACAAAAACTATCATAACAATGGTACTATATAGTGTATTGCAGTAATGAAAATGTATCTGATGTAGAAAAATAATTAGTAACATAATATATCAAGCATAGAATTAGTGAAAATCTAGAATGCAACTAAAACTGTAGCAAATTAGACAACCTTTTCTCCATTATAGGGAATAGGAGGCACATTGTGTAACACACAAAATCATAAGACCAGAACATACTGCGTTATTAAAAGAATTGGGCTTCCCGATGAGTAGCTCTATTCAAAACGAGATTGAAATGCATTTTCTTTTCATATTCTATATGTATTGAATGATCCGATAATTCACAAAGGGGAAGGGAGTCGGCTGACCACCTCAGCCATTGGTAGGAAATTAGCTGAAAAGCTTACATTGACTAATGCATTCTTTCTATACAGAAGCAGAGAATAAAATCGATGGATAAATGAGAGATATTCAGACCTGACTATCATTAGCTTCTGATCCACTGTTTGTAAAAAAGACCTTTGCCATTTTATTTGCAGTAAAAACTTCCAAAAGCTCCTTTGCAAGATCCTGCATGCAGAAAGCAACCAGGATGATGACAGAGAAATATTTCTATAAAAGTTAGCATCAAATTTAACTTAAAATTGTCATACCAAAGAGGGCTTTGTTGTTCGGTTCCAAAACGAGTGGTAGAATGGCAACGTATTAAGTTGTTTTGTTGCAGCAGCAACAAGACGAGGTTCATTCCCCCCTGTAAGTATACAAAAATTAGTTAAAAGAGCATTATTACAGCAAGACCTTCGCACAATATATTTTGCATATAAGATGTCATCACC